TAAAATACTTTGCTATGAATTCCTCCGAATCTTGACCCAGATGACTTATTGCAACGCAGAAAGCACAGTGAATTAAATTTGTAAACAGTAACCTCTCTTTCTCACTGTTTTTTTTTGGACAGACCGACAGAATTTATTCATCTTTTTTATCTGACAGCATAGACAATTTAGGACCCAGAGCCCGACTGAAAGCGTTACACTGCGCATACCATACCGCCAGTGCTGCCGTGATACGATAGGGTTATCAGATTGAGAGCGCGGCGTCAGTGTAGGAGAACACACATGTACAACGTAGCGTTAACGCAGATGCGATGATAAATCCTTTCAATTAAATGGTTTCACTCTCTGTGCGTTTTGTAAACCAAAAACATTGTTAAGTTCTATGAAACGGCACCCTCGGTGATAAAATCTAATTGCATTCAACGCCACATTTAATTCTTGAGTTTCATCGTCCAAAGACGTCACAAAGTTTTTTTCTCAAAGGAATAACACCAAAAAGTGGATAGACGCCACTAAACGCTAGGAATCTGGGGAATTCCAGACATTGTTGGGAGCTTTGATTAAATAGTGCAAGAAATAACTGAAATTGACAATCAGCTTATCTCGTGAAATTTGCTCTCATTAAGTGCGGCTTTAAAAGCTTTAAGCTGACAAAATCAGCTGAACGGTGATATAGGTCGCAATTGGAGTTATTTTTGTGCAATTTGAAGACGTGAAGGGCGAAAGAAGTGTTTTTCATGGTCAATGTTTGTTACACGACCTTGCGTTTATCTCTCTTTTGCTGGGAAGGAGAGAGAGAGAGAGAGAGAGAGAGAGAGAGAGAGAGAGAGAGAGAGAGAGAGAGAGAGAGAGGGGCACAATTGAGAATAAGATCGCGAGCATGATACCCGTTATAGTACGTTACAGAAAGCGAAAACAAGATACTCGTTACAGCTCGTGACAGCTGCTGCTAGATTCTCGTTAAAGTACGTGGATATTCGATAAATTACGTGACAATGACACAATCCCGTTAAGGAGCAGCATCACCAAAGGGGATGGTTAGAGACCAACCCCTGGCTGTTTTAGGCAGAGGTGTGGTGCACAGTGCCTCTGGTGCCAATTTAGATCAAGTGAACAAAAAATGAAAGAAAACCTCGTCATTTTCTTGAACTCAAAGGGAGGCCAGGGTGGCCCGATGGCATTTCGATACTCAGAGTTACATCCCTTGGATCAAGTGGTATTATCTTTGACTTTGCTGGCACATTGAACTGACACGCCTCTACATGATTAAAATACTGTTGTCACTCCTCGGTAAAAAACACATACCACAGTCGTGGAGGGAACATTTTGTCTAATCAAGAATTACAACTGCTATGCATTATTTACAACCAATAAAAATAATGTTTTACCAAGTTTTTTCTCTCTAGATCTAGAACTGCAGACTAATTTTGGCCAAAACAAAGCCAGGACCAAATGACACCAGGGCGAAGCTGTATAAAATATTAGTTACTCTCAAAGCATCTATTGATCGCACACATGCTGCTCACAAATACTGATTGAAGTGTACACTGTTGTCATCTGGTGGACTAGCCATAAATGATGATATATTGGCATGGGGATATCACACATGGACACATGAACGGACAGCGTACTAACTAATATGCAGTGCTATTAATAGCAGAATCAGCTTAACATTACTATAAAAGTTTGGTATAAAGTACAATACAAATTGAGTGTTATTTTAAAACATATAATATTTATATTTTTATTGATATAAATATTCCACAATGGTCTTCCTGACCTTTAAGAGGTCCTAAAACTATATAGAGTACCAACAGCTGAGCTGAATATTAGTGCTAATTAAACGTAAAGACGCATGACGCATTTAAGATCTTGAAAGAAACTATTCCTGTTCTTGGATGGACGTATTATTTTCCCAAGGCGATCTGGGACGCAGACTCACTGACGTGTTACGGGGTGACCTGCAGAGTATAACTGACGTGCTACACGGACAGCTGGGGTGACTGCCCTGTTACGTGGACACCCTAAGTCACTGCCCTGTTACACGGACACCCTAAGTCACTGCCCTGTTACGTGGACACCCTGAGTCACTGCCCTGTTACGTGGACACCCTATGTCACTGACCTGTTACACGGACACCCTAAGTCACTGCCCCGTTACGTGGACACCCTGAGTCACTGCCCTGTTACACGGACACCCTGAGTCACTGACCTGTTACGTAGACACCCTGAGTCACTGCCCAGTTACGTGGACACCCTAAGTCACTGCCCTGTTACACGGACACCCTGAGTCACTGCCCCGTTACGTGGACACCCTGAGTCACTGCCCTGTTAAACGGACACCCTGAGTCACTGCCCTGTTACACGGACACCCTGAGTCACTGACCTGTTACGTGGACACCCTGAGTCACTGCCCTGTTACACGGACACCCTAAGTCACTGCCCTGTAACACGGACACCCTGAGTCACTGCCCTGTAACACGGACACCCTGAGTCACTGCCCTGTTACGTGGACACCCTGAGTCACTGACCTGTTACGTGGACACCCTGAGTCACTGACCTGTTACACGGACACCCTAAGTCACTGCCCTGTTACACGGACACCCTAAGTCACTGCCCTTTACACGGACAACTTAAGTCACTGACCTGTTACGTGGACACCCTGAGTCACTGACCTGTTACACGGACACCCTGAGTCACTGCCCCGTTACGTGGACACCCTGAGTCGCTGCCCTGTTACGTGGACACCCTGAGTCACTGACCTGTTACGTGGACACCCTGAGTCACTGCCCTGTTACACGGACACCCTGAGTCACTGACCTGTTACGTGGACACCCTGAGTCACTGACCTGTTACACGGACACCCTAAGTCACTGACCTGTTACGTGGACACCCTGAGTCACTGACCTGTTACACGGACACCCTGAGTCACTGCCCCGTTACGTGGACACCCTGAGTCACTGCCCTGTTACACGGACACCCTAAGTCACTGCCCTGTTACGTGGACACCCTGAGTCACTGACCCGTTACGTGGACACCCTGAGTCACTGCCCTGTTACGTGGACACCCTGAGTCACTGCCCTGTTACGTGGACACCCTGAGTCACTGGCCTGTTACGTGGATTTCTTGAGTCACTGACCTGTAACGTGGACACCCTGAGTCGCTGCCCTGTTACACGGACACCCTGAGTCACTGCCCTGTTACGAGGACATCCTGAGTCACTGACCTGTTACACGGACATCCTGAGTCACTGACCTGTTACACGGACACCCTGAGTCACTGACCTGTTACACGGACACCCTGAGTCACTGACCTGTTACACGGACACCCTGAGTCACTGACCTGTTACGTGGACACCCTGAGTCACTGCCCTGTTACGTGGACACCCTGAGTCACTGCCCTGTTACACGGACACCCTGAGTCACTGACCTGTTACACGGACACCCTAAGTCACTGCCCTGTTACGTGGACACCCTGAGTCACTGCCCTGTTACGAGGACACCCTGAGTCACTGACCTGTTATGTGGACACCCTGAGTCACTGCCCTGTTACGAGGACACCCTGAGTCACTGACCTGTGACACGGACACCCTGAGTCACTGCCCTGTTACGTCGGCACCCTGAGTCACTGCCCTGTTATACGGACACCCTGAGTGACTGCCCTGTTACGAGGACACCCTGAGTCACTGCCCTGTTACGAGGACACCCTGAGTCACTGACCTGTTACGTGGACACCCTGAGTCACTGCCCTGTTACGAGGACACCCTGAATCACTGACCTGTTACGTGGACACCCTGAGTCACTGACCAGATACACGGACACCCTGAGTCACTTCCCTGTTACGTCGGCACCCTGAGTCACTGACCTGTTACGTGGACACCCTGAGTCACTGACCAGATACACCGACAACCTGAGTCACTGACCAGATACACGGACACCCTGAGTCACTGACCTGTTACACGGACACCCTGAGTCACTGCCCTGTTACGTCGGCACCCTGAGTCACTGCCCTGTTACGTGGACACCCTGAGTCACTGACCTGTTACGTGGACACCCTTAGTCACTGACCTGTTACACGGACACCCTGAGTCACTGACCTGTTACGTGGACACCCTGAGTCACTGACCTGTTACGTGGACAACCTGAGGCACTGACCTGTTACGTGGACACCCTAAGTCACTGACCTGTTACGTGGACACCCTGAGTCTAAATCTCTAAAGTTTAAAGCTAGATTTAATAATTAAAACAAAGATAAGTATATAACAATTCTCAGCTACTGGGCAAGGTACCCATACACATCTATTTAGGCAAAGCAATATGGCAAATGTGCAATATAGATAATAGTCACCTCAGATTTCTTGACATCACATTCCCAATGAATTCCATTTCACATTGTTCCAAACGTATATATCACAGTTCACAGGATAACTGGGTAACAACAGTTTCCTCCTTCGAAGCGTCGACATGACCTTCTACCTTTGTCTCCAGACATAACGCTGGGTTGAACTGCCCTCGTTCAGTTAAACCATATTTCTCCCTCTCCAATTCTTTTTCCTTCCCCCTTTCTGTTCGATAACTTGCCCTCATATAGTAAACAAATTTCCAAGTAAGCTATCTACTTCAGCACACAATGAAAGGTTGATCGGCCCACACCAATCAGTTACCAAGCCAACTCAAACTCCAATCACCCCACAAGCACGCTTCTCCCCGTCGGGCAGCTTGCTTAACTCAATCAAGCATGACGCCGTCCACCCAAACTGGACCCCTTGTGAACCACACAAATATACAACGTCACTCATAACACCTGTTACACGGACACCATGAGTCACTGCCCTATTTCACTTTTCATGTAGTAGCGCTGTCTGAACGGAAGCCACAGTCGGCACTGTGTGAACCTGGCCTTACCCATACCAAAATATTTGAAGACCGTCTTGATAGAGCTTGACATCGCTGATTGTTGCGTAAGATAACATTGTTCTGAAGTTGATGTGTTTGTCTACAGGTGCGTTCCTGCTTCCCTACCTGATCATGCTGGTGTTCCTGGGGATTCCCCTGTTCTACATGGAGCTGGCCCTGGGACAGTTTCAGCGGACGGGCATCATCACCGTCTGGAAGAGGATCTGCCCCATGTTCAGTGGTAAGTCTAATGTCGGTTAAATCACAGGTATCAGTAGCTGTTCATTTAATGTCCCCCACCATAACTCATGTATCCCAGGAGGGCGAAGCAAAAAATAATTTTCATAACTTGTGTACAATAAGGGTCCGGCACTTTCGTCCTTTTAGTATACATTATAGGTTCAAATGAGATTGAACTGTTGATTAGGCAAGTCCATTTGAAGTTATCATTCTACCATGCGATAGGATTGAAGTCAATCATTCCACGGGGTTTTACAGGCATTTTAAGACATATGTTAACCAACAGTTCAAGGAACGCCTCCGTGCTCTAGTGGTAGAGCGTCTGCCCGGAGAGCGGAAGGTCGGGGTTCGATCCCCGGCCGCGTCATACCAAAAGACGTTAAAAGATGGCACTTGTTTGAACCTGCCTGACGATTGGCATTAAAGGGGCCCGAAAAGGACTCATCGGCTTGAAGTCAGTATAGTGTGTTTTAACAGTATATTTGCGCTGATAGAAATGGGCAACTGGACGCCAGGATTTAAATTATGACTGATTGGTTATCGATAATATACAATGGGCAAACGGGAGGCATTGGTAATACGCTCGGTGTTCTTTCTTATTCCGTTGGTTGTTAGGATAAATACATGTACCAAACTAAACAATTTTCTCAAAAAGAAATATGTCATCATTTTAAAAAAATAGGCCTTTCCACCGGTTCCTTATTCTTTCATTTCTGTGTAATGTACTTGTAGTAGCCCAAGATCATATCAGGACGGGTGAGTTGGGTTTAAAGCTGCGACTTTGAACAGTAACCGATTTGGGAGGAGAGCCTCAATGGGTGAACGTCTCAGACGTTTACGTTTGGCAATACCACGACCACAGGTTCGGTGTTAACAAACCTAGACACATTATCTCGTCGAACCTGGACTCGAACCCACGATCGTGGGATCATGGCACGTCTTAGGGGAGCAACTCTGCCCAGCGTATTGCAGCGCCTCAGACGACAGTGCCACCCCTGCCCAAGCGATCAAATCCGATATAGCAGTTGTGACAGCATCATTACTTTCGCAGGTGTGGGCTTTGGCGTGTGTATCATCGCGACACTGGTGGGGTCCTACTACAACACCGTCATAGCATGGGGCATGCTGTACCTCGTGTCCTCGTTCAGGGCAGAGGTGCCTTGGAAGGGCTGCAACAACAGCTGGAACAGTCCCAACTGTGTATCCCTAGCCAACAACGACAACATCACCAACACATCCGTCACGGCAGCTACCGAGTATTTCTTGTAAGTAACAGTATGAACATGGAAAAACCTTTTTGTCGCCTTCAACTCTCACTGAACTCTCTGTCTGACCACCAAACTCATGCAAGAGCGACTTGGTGCAGTTCCAGTCTGGATATTGGAGCTATATAGAACCGAAATGTTTTCGTGTTTCAACATCGTCCATACAACTGTTATCTCTGTTATGCAGATCACTAGGGTTTGTTTGTTTGTTGTTTAACGCCGTACTCAGCAATATTCCAGCTGTATGAGGGCATTTTGTAAATAATCGAGTCTAGACCAGACAATCCAGTGATTGATATCATGTGCGTCGATCCACGAAATTGGGATACGATGACATGCATCAACCAAGTCAGCAAGCCTGACCACCCGAGCTCGTTAGTCGCATCTTACGACAAGCATAGTCACCTTTTACGGCAAGCATTGGTTGCTGAAGACCTATTCTACCCCGGATCTTCACGGGTCGACGGTCACTGGGGGCAATATCTGGTGAATATGGTGAATGGGGTATTATAAAGGTGTCTCGATAGTGTGATGGGTAACTTTATTTGAATCATTTCCCGTGGAGACACCGGGTTACAACTGGTTCCAGGGCAACCTACACTTCACAAATTGGCGCCTTATTGGATCGGGTGGTCAGGATCGGTGATTTGGTTGATTGCGCGTCACCCTTCCCCAGCGGTGTCTGTCGTTGCTTCTAATACCGATCACTTGATTGTCTGGTCCAGACTTGAGTATTTATGAGCCGCCGTGCAAAAGCTGGTATATTGCCGAGTTCTGCGTTGAACAATTTAACTTGAAAATATACCGAATTTCAACAGTAACTGTGTTATAACGTGGCGTGTTCGCTGGTAAGGGATGAAGGTGCATAGTGCTGCTGGAGACGATAGCCACTTTGGTCATACCCACGAACATGGATGTAGTGATGGCAAACCAAGAAACATGATAAGGGCGAATCTGGAATTCATGATCATGTTTCCCATAATCATAGGTTTCTGTCACGTCTAAGGGACGCAACTCTGCACAGCAAATTGTGCTGCTCAGGTCACTGGACAAGGCTTGACCTCTTTATTCAAACAAATAACTGGTAATCAGTGTATACATAACATAGATTTCATATATTGACCTTCATTTTAAAATGTCCATCACACTATCTATATTCTCAATGAAAAGAAGCCATTGATTTGTGGTGTTCGGAGCCCGCATCTACCAATATTCTGACGTCGCTGCATTTGCAAAACTGACAGAAATGCTCGTAAATTAAAGGCTTTGTCAGTTTAAATTACCGGAACATAATCTTAAATCGTGAAATGATGTTTAAATTTAGTATTGGGAAAATAGCAAAAGCATGTAGAGAATTCTCAATGAAAAGGGTTTATTCAGCAGGTTTATATATATAACTGTGGGCTAATTCATGTAATTCATTTCAGTGAGTGAGTATGGTTTTACGCCGCTTTTAGCAATATTCCAGCAATATCCGGCGGTGGACACCAGAAATGGGCTTCACACATTGTACCCATGTCAGGAATCGAACCCGGGTCTTCGGCTTGGCGAGAGAACGCTTTAACCAACAGGCTACCCGACCGCCCTAATTCATTTCAAGCTATGGTAGCGAAAAGGTCCAGGGACTATCATGATAGAAGGAAGAAATGGATAATCGAGGATGAGGCTCTATGGCTATATGTGTGTTTCAGGAAGGAGATTCTCGAGTTCCAGTGGTCAGATGGGGTGGGAAGCGTGGGCAATATCAAGTGGTCACTCACCCTGTGTCTACTGGCCATCTTCATTGTCATCTACTTCTGTTTGTGGAAGGGAGTCAAGTCATCAGGCAAGGTGCGTGCCAGCGCTGCAAATGCTTTTCAAAATTCAGTAGGACATATATATGTACAGTGAACTACGTTTATAACTAACACGCTTGTTACGGACTGACCGATATAACGAACTTAATTGTAGTCCTGGCCCTTTGTTGTATTAATGCTGTATATGTTTATAACGAACAATGGTTATTACGAACTACAACTAGTGGTCCCTTTAGGTTCGTTGTAACCATAGTTTACTGTAAATTAAAAAAAGTTTTAATATCTGAGAAGAAAATATGATTTTACAGTTCCTTTGAATTCATTATTTTCGGAGTTGTAATACAGTTTGGTGTTCCCAGGCCGTGTGGGTTACCGCTACTCTCCCTTACATCATCCTCTTCATCCTCCTCATCCGAGGATGCACTCTCCCCGGGGCGTCGAAAGGGATCTACTACTTCATCAAACCTGACTTTTCTAGACTCCTCACTGTTGATGTAAGTAACATATGTAACATATGTCACCATATAAAGATACAGGATCCAAAATGTCACGCACAGGCTGACATAACTGAATGTGACAAACATATGACCTAGAGGTTATTGTGAAATAGATAATCACCTTGACTGTCGAAGATGATGTTGAATGGATGCAGTTTGTGTTGTACATGTGACCGTCTGTTGCTACACCTTGTGCAGAATCGGGCCCATTACTGCCACGTTTCGTTGTTTCGAATCGCGGGAATGTCATAGTCACGGTCCTTGGTTTGTCTGTTACAAAGGGCTTTCCTTCCAGAACAAGCAAACACGACACGATACTGCTGAAATGCTGTTCAAGAAGGTGTTAGTTTTTACTCCCTCACTCACTCTTCTTCAGGTGTGGGTAGATGCAGCCGCTCAGATTTTCTTCTCTCTTGGGCCAGGATTCGGAACTCTGATGGCTCTAGCCAGTTATAACAAATTCCACAACAACTGCTTCTTGTGAGTAAACACTGGAACATGAATAAAATTGTAATTTGATTGATAACGACCCATACAAAAAACGAGGCACAAAAACCGCAATGAATATTTCAAGAAACTGTTGTATAACTACCAACTATTATTATTCAGTGTGAACGATTGCTTGAAGCGGCTTTAAAATATAACTCAGTTACTGTAAACTAATTTGGAGTCGTAATGATTGCAGAAGTATTACGGAGAAACTGTGTATTTAAATGTTGTTTTTTCTTTTCAAAACTTAATATTCTCTTATTGTATGCCAGGGATGCCATGATCACGCCGGTAATCAACTGCTTAACAAGTTTCCTGGCCGGTTTTGTTGTATTCGCTGTTCTCGGCTACATGGCGCATCTCCAAAACGTTGAAGTGGACCAGGTCGCTGCTCAGAGTAGGTGCCAGTTTATAACTGATTTCTCATTTCAGATTTTCATTCTTTATGTCAACATTTTGTGGGGTTCATGGCCTATAGCACATATTTTCACACGGAATGTTTCCTTGAAAGAGCTGCAAATAGAGTGCACCGTCCTTCTGGATAAATTGGTGCATGTGTCCATGCAGGTTAAACATATATGTTTTTTTTGTTTTATTATTTTCTGTTGTTGTTTTGTTTTGTTTTTTATTGAGGGGGGGGGGGGGGGGGGGGGGGGGGGGGTATTTTGTTCTTTTTGTTTAACGCCTCACTACTGGCAAGCCAGGATAAGTTGAGTTGTGACCTGACAATTAACCCCAGGTGACAAATGACTTCAGAGAATCCTGGTATCGACTTGTCACACCGACCTCTTAATAGTCTTATGAGCAGCACGTGTCTCCACGGGAACGTAGTCAATTTCATCGTCATGACCTGCACGTGCACAACACGCGAACTACCTATAACAAACCAAATATGTTTGCCCAAGTTATGTGCACCACCTACTTGTCTCAAACGCGTTTTGTTAGTTGGTTCAACAAATCCTGGATTGCTATATGACGACGGTCATATAATCGAGTCTGGATCAGATAATCCAGAGATTGACACCATGAGTATCGATTAGGATATGCGATGACATGCATCAACCAAGTCACCAGCCTGATCACCCGATCCATTTAGTCGCCTCTTACAACAAGCATAGGTTGCACATTAATAACACGCAGTCGCACACAGAAAGCAGCTTCAGCCTAGGGAACTTGATTTCTTTTAATACAAGTGCTGCTTGAACGCATCTTCCCGAGGCAATAGTGTCCACTGGTCTGTATTTAAATCTAGTGTTAACCCTTGCCCTTTCAAGACAGCTTTTCTGTGTTAAAACAGACAAACCCTCGGGAGAGGACTGTCGCACATATCGATAGTCCAATCAAAGAACGTTTGACAAAATCCGGGGTCTGAAAACATGGCCGCTGCTATGGCCTTAGCCATCGCGCGTCGAATTTGCGCCAGTCTCATTAAAATCCGATCTTAGTTCTCGCTACCGCTAAACAAGATCTGAGTACAAAGCAGTTCACATCAGGACGATCTTTCGGGAAGTTTGACCGACCAGTGAAATCACTAATATGAAGTCGACATTAGCCAATCAGAAATCACGAGCTATGTTGTACAAGATTCAAACTTGCAACTTCCATTTCACACTAGGCTTCCATTCAAATGTTTATCTCAATGAATCGAGAGACAGGCGATGATTTTGACGGAATCAGTTGTACATTCCGTAACTGTCATTCGGAATACCCCGTGTTGGCTGTTTCGAGGTTGCATGATTAGAAAACACATTCTGACTGTCACTTTCATGATCTTGTAAGCGACGCTTTGATTGGTCGGATGAAAGGTCGTTCGTAATGGGATGTGACGTGACCCGTAATGGGATGTCCTCAGTCATAGCGAGAACTAAGATCCGATTTTAATGAGATTTAATTTTGCGTTGACATTATTCCAACAAGTAAGAGAAGACAAATACTTTATCAAGTTTATCAAAGTTTTCAATTTAATGTATTTGTACTCGAACAACTAAGCGCTTATCGCGCAGTGCTATTTTAGACGACTCCTGCTGAGCGTTGCACGTTACCTCTATGTGACTTGATACTTTGTAGTCCGTATGCCTCTATTATTGTAAGAGAGTAATGCCTCAGCAATAGACAATGAATCCTCACTGTAGCAATCTGTCATTTTGTGTGTCTCTGCGGGATGAAATCGAGAATCATTCGATATAAGAATTGGGATCCGATTAGATAACGCGTTTGTATCACCATCGGCAACTCATGCTCTACACAGGGTGGTGCCGCGATCGAGCCACGGAAAAGCGTCTAGAAAGGGCAGGGAAAGGGACGAAAACCAGACTTTGACATACAATCAGTATAACTGTGAAGAAATATTTTCAGTCTGCACAGTCGTCACTTTACCTGGATAACACCTCACCTTGTGGTTTACCCAGTTATATTGATAACAAAACTAACTCCCGTTTGTTATAAGGTTACATGCATACATGTCTAATTTGGTGAATTTGCCATTGTTTCCTCTTCAGGTGACGGTCCCGGCCTTGTATTTATCGCATACCCAGAGGCCATTGCGACCTTCGCTGGGTCTCCGGCTTGGGCCGTCTTTTTCTTCCTCATGCTCATAACATTGGGCCTTGACAGCTCGGTAAGTGGGCCAACTCTAACCTAGATCACCCTCCATCCTGCGATAACGATCACCTTAAATCAGTTCTAATGCGACAAGCAAATACTTGTGAACAGCCATCATGCATACGAATTATCGCGGAAGGTTGTTATAATCGACATGTCGTAATACTGTAAGAAACCCGTTAATGCGGACAGTGCTATCGGGTTCAGACAAGGGGACAGTTTACAGCCAATCCTCTTTGCTTTATACCTAAATGACTTTGAAAATGTGTGAAGGTACTGATGTTATATCAGAAGATGAATTACATGTATTTGGAATTTGTAAAAATATTATTGTTTTGGTATATGCAGATGATACCATTATACTTGCAGATAAACATAACATACAGTTAGAAAATTATTGGCTTTCATTACCCTTAAGACTTAGTATCCGGATTATTAAAATTAGATCCACTAATCATAAATTACCAATAGAAAAGGGGTGATGGGAAAATGTACGACTATATATACAGCATATACTATATACAGATATTAATGTCCTTTTTCATAACTTGGGTAAATTGTATATTCACAAGAAGTAGAAGACCTTGTGTGATATCACTCGACATGTTATTAAAACTGAAAGCTAAACGTTAAACCTGACGCACGTCTCCCTCGTGCCTCGTGCCAAATCACATATCTTTGCTTTAGCTTCAATATGTCATAGCTCTGAACTTAAAGCGAAATAAAAGTTGTTGTTGTTGTTGTAAATCGGGCGATTACTGCTGGAAAAGTGTTCATGGCAAATTGAAATGACAAAAACCCAATGATCGTTAATCAGAAATCTCAGTAGGAACGCTACAGTCTATGGTAATGGGATTTCACAATATTTCATAGTTAATTGACTCATTTAATTCCAGTGGGTAGCTCGCGATGGATGCGAATATTTTTGGATAAACCTTATTTTTTAGTGGTCATCGTGTGTTCGATCACATGATGCAATGGTAAGGCTTGATTTCGCCGTGTAGTATTATTCGCGTTTACATCACTTGAGTCTTGAGTCTTTGTATCATTTTGTATTATTTCTTAGTGGTCATCGTGTGTCAAATCACTCTATGCAATTGTATGGCTTGTTTTCGCCGTGTAGTCTCGAATCGTTGTATCATTTTGCTCTGTAGGTGGTTGCATTGGACGGTGGGTTGTTAAAAGTTGATGCCCACCAAATAAGAAATGAAACATACTGTTGAAAGAACCAAACTGGAGCAATGAAAGTTTACAATATTTAACGTTCGTTTATCAGATGTGGTAACCGTTACAGTTTGCGTATTACCATGGTTACAGTTTGGAGGTCTGGAGTCCAGTATAACGGCCATCACTGATCAATTCCCCAAGTTGAGAAAGAGGCGAGAACTCGTAGTACTTGCTCAGTTAGTACTGTGCTTCATCATCGGCTTGCCGACGACGACCTATGTAAGTAGATACACAACCGGCTGCTCTTTCGTTCAATCACGGGTTTGTCTAGTCCAAGCATACCCGCCGTGATATAGAAGAACACGGCGCGTATCACTGCTCATGCCATCCACTACTGGATCATCTGGTCCACCTTCGGGGGCACTGGTGGCCCAGTCGTCTGAGGCGCCGCGATTCGCTGTGCAGAGTTGCGTCCCTTGGGCAAGCCAGAAACCGAAGATTGTGATTACGAATACCGGATCGCCCCAATTATGTTTCTAGGTTTGTCACCATCATACCCGTGCTCGTTGGTTTCACCGAAGTGGTAAACGTCTGAGACCTGCATCACTTCGGGCTTTCCCCCCACATTAAGCTGACCCGCTGTGATATAAGGGGAATACTGTTAAAAGCGGCGTTAAACCCAGCTCACTCACTCACTCTGGTCCACCTACGGTAATATTTGGCGCTGGTTGTCGTGATATAGCTCTACACTGCATTGATCGCTGCTCATGCTATACACCATTGGATTGTCTGGTCCAGACTCTTTCCAGATTTTTTCTAAGTCCGCCATCATATAGCTGGAATATTGCTGAGTGCGGCGTTAAACAAAAAAACAACCCAGCAGAAATAAAGATCGAGGTCGAACTTGGGCCGCACGGAAGGTCTATTTGCGCATATAAGTGTTATCTCCCTGTCATGCAATTCGTGTCCCTTGTGTTCCAGGGGGGTCAATACATCATTCAGCTGATGGACACGCATGCCGCTCCCATCTCTCTCATCTTCATCTGCTTCATCGAAGCCGTCGCTGTCAACTGGATATATGGTAGGCCATGCATCTATTAATTCATTAGTGACAATCATGATCAGACATACATCAGAGTTGACAGATCAAAAGGCTTTGACTATCTTGTAAAAAGAAAGCCAGAGTCGTATGAAGTGCACATTAAATCGGAATCAGTAGATGTTAATTTACGTGTGTGTCTATTTACATTTTGCGAAAGACGCCTCCTGATCTGCATCATAATCACTACACTCATAGCCCTTTGCGCATTTATTCTTGAAACAAATAGTTGCGTCCAAGAATCATAGAGCATGGGTTCGATTCCAAGTTTCTTCATGATTATAATTCTTGGTTTGTCTCCACCATACTTGTGTTCGTGGGATTCACCAAAGTGGTAAACGTCTAATACCTGCATCACTTTAGGTCGTTTTTCCCATATTGAACTCACATGTTGTGATATAACTCAAATACTGTTCACAGTGGCCGTTACACTCAATATTATACCGGGTAGAATGAGTCTTCAGCAACCCATTCTTGCCGTAAAAGGCGACTATGCTTGTCGTAAAAGGCGACTTACAGGATCGGGTGGTCAGGCTCGCTGACTTGGTTGATGCATGTCATCGTTTCCCAATAGCGTGGATCGATGCTCATGATGTCAATCACTGGATTGTCTGGTCCAGACTCCATTTTTTACAGACCGCCGTCATATAGCTGGAATATTGCTGAGTACAACGAATAAACAAACAAACAATGTTACACAAATCATAGACGTTTCATGGAATCCACCAGTGCAGGGTAAGAGTGAACAGTGTTGCCTTGTGGTACAGCTATCTGTAACTGACGCCAGTACATCCTGCCCTCAGGCGTACAGCGATTCTCCTCGGACATCCAGACCATGCTGGGATCACCTCCGGGGATGTTCTGGAAAGTGTGCTGGGTTGGGATCTGCCCCCTCAGCTTGCTGGTAAGGGTAGCCCTCATTCCAGATCTGACAAGCGACATTCGCTTGCAGTTTGTATTGATCAAAGACGCTGAGGTATAGCAAGCGCGAAACAGATAACTATAGCACTTTTTCAAATTGGCATGCAATTGGGATTACAGACTGAAAAAAAACATTTCGTCATTCAAGATGAAATCATTCTGACATTGTTTTATCTCTTTGATTTAAATCGCTTTAACAAGTATTAAACATATCACTGAAATTATCTTGGCAAAGCCCTTGTTCCCAGAGTTCCTCGTGAAAGGTGGGGAAATGCTTCCTCCAAATACAACATGTAACATAATTATAAAAAGGGTCATTTCAGGAAAATGTGTTGAATAACTACGTTCCCCATTACTATGCATACTATAACATATCTACATATAAGTTCATGCATGTCGGGAGTTGCATCGCTTAGGCGTTTCAAAAACCTGTGCTCGTTGGTTCCAATCCCAGATTCGCCCTGATGATGTTTCTAGTGGTAAACGTCTAAGACCTGCATCACCTCCGATGATCCTGCCTCTTTAAACTGACATGATGTAGCTGGCATATTCTTCAATAGCGGCGTTAAACCCACTCCCTCTCTACATGTATGTCCATATGTCTCCAGACACTGTTCGTGCTGTCCATCATCGGGTATCAGGGCGTGCGTCTGGGAACCTACATATATCCCCCCTGGGCCGTGGCGCTAGGATGGTGTCTCACCTCAATGTCTCTACTCTGCATCCCTGTCTTCATGGTATATTGGTTCCTTACTTCTAAAGGCACCATGAAGCAGGTAAGAACACAAGTGATCTATCGTCCACTTCAACCTAGACTATTGCCACCGTGACCTGAAAGTCAGGTCTTGTTAGACTCCGTGATAACTGAGAGGATTCAGTTGTGGGATATTTTTCACAGACAGAATATGTTTTCGACATTTCATCATAAAAAATCAATTTATTTTCTCTATAATAAATATGTTTCTTGTATTTCCTAGAACAATTGATAGGTACCTTGGGGACATCGTGTTCAGACTGTCAACATGGTAAACCTAGGCAATTCCGGCCGCTTTTTTATGTAGTTTGAACCCTGCTAAATGGGGTAATTTTAAGACCACATTTACAAAATGATTTCTTTGCCAGTGGTATGATGTGTCACAGGTCTCCCTCATAGATGGCAATACACAGTGGCTATATCGCAATGCGGGAAATGAACATAGAGACTAGGTCTTCAACCTGAGGCTGTGGGCCAGTGTCTCGACTATAGAACACACCGTGACAGTTCCGAGTAGTGTGTCTATATCCTCATATCGATCTCTATATCTCTATAATAAAACTACTTGTCCTTGGGGTATAGGTGTTTACTGTCTGACTGTACTCGAACTCTGTTATTCCCCGAGGTACCTGTGTTGCTGAATGTTATTGTTTCCGTTTGTTTTGTACATTGCATACATTGGCTATTGATGCTCATGGAGGAGAAAGTATGATAACTTTATTTAAATGGTTTTTTTCAACATGTGGACATTTCTCACCCCTTTTCCTAGATTTCATCCCACCTCCCACTCTTACCCTATCTACATACGCCATCTCCTTCACTCATCGCAAGCTTCATCCGAACTTCCCACCCATGCCATTTCCCCTAATCGCCTGCTACCTCCACACCTCTTCTCCTTCACGCATCCTAACCTGCTATCCCTCCCCAACCCACTCCCCCTTATCCTACTCCTACACCTTAACAGTTACTACTTATCTACTGACCACATGCCTCTCTTAATTGAATCACCCTCGTATTATTTTGAACGAATCTGCTTTCCCCTTTGCTCTTCAATAAAAGTCTTACAAAAACACTAATCGTTAAATGACGTTGTATTTCAGAAGTGTCTACGAATGGTCAAACCAGTTGAGTATCCTACACATGTGAACAGGACGCTTAGTGACAGTGAAAGTAAATATTCCTCACCTCAGAGTTTTGATACAGAAGAACTCCCCAGTAGCCAAGTTGGAGGAAACTGTATTGAATCTGCTGCATAGTCGTACATACGTTTTACGACATCAAGCCAACATCAGCCATGACATTTGTCAAGACCGGTTTACGGCGCTTTACGACAACGACGCCTTTTCGGCGGAAAGGCGACCACTTTTCATATTATGGAAGCTATTCATATGAGAGAGCTTGGTCCAGCAACGTTGCTACGCATTCGGGTGTATATTTTCATTGTTCATTCTTTATATTGTTACGATTTTACTGGTGCTCAAATAGAAGGAATCGTTGACGGTTGGCGTGACAAGATGTGTAGTCGTGTTTGTGTAAATATATCAGGTTTGTCGTCTATGTCAAGTATGTTATTTAGAGATGTGGTTTTCGTCAACATTTCCCTGGTGTTATAATAGCTAGATACACTTGATAACGAGAACAGAGGTATTAATTTCTTTGATACAAACGTTTGAACTGAATACTCAAACCGGTTTTCATGGAATACTTAATGTTTGACAAACTTTTATTGTTTATGAAAAGAAATGAGGAAAAGATGAAAGGACGCATAGGTTACACATATATTTTGCATTTGTATATTCTGTAGTCCACCTTGTCATCAAGTGCTTGATTGGGGTTTTAACGTATTTGTCGAATTATCGATATGCTGAAATTAAAACAAATCTTCCAGAGGCAAAGGAGTTAACTGACTATAAAAGTCCAGTTTTCACCCGTGCAAACTAGGCTAGAATTTCGCGGCTCGGCCATAGTGCCACGAGTGGCGATGAAAAGTTACGTCGCCCAGTCGTTTAAAACTCCGCAATTTGCTAGGTTTGTCAGCACCGTAATCATGCTTGTGGGTTTTACCAATTGGGTAAACGTCTCAGACCTGTAGCCTGCCCCTGGCTTTCCTCCCACAACAAGCTGACCTGCCGTGATGTGACTAAGAATGTCCAAAGCGACGTTAAACGAAACGCACTCACTCACTCACTCCACCACAATAATTTTACAGTAGGATTGACATACTGTTGTTTCTATTGCAATAGACACACCCTATACTAATGCGGATGTGTCAAACTTTAAACGTATATTTAGGACAATACTATCAGAATATTGTTTCCATGTCTCAGAACTGGGGATACCGTTATTTCTTAGGTCACAAATCTATGACTAAACCTGATTCTAATGTACCTGGAGACCTCTGTTGGCCACGCCCCTACGAATTATGAAGAGACAGGTTTGAGGCTGTGGTGACAATGTGGTGACTGGGTTAATTTACGTGTCCAACACGGTATGAAAGGCATGGTGTGTGCAAAATTTCGCAATACGACGGAAAAGCTTTATTTGTATGTTGTTTAACGGCGCACTCAGCAATATTCCAGCTATTCGGCGGTCTGTAAATAGCCCGGACCCGACAATCCAGTGTTTGACATCATGAGCATCGATCTCCGCCATTGGGATACGATGACATACATCAACCAAGTCAGTGCGCCTGACCACCCGATCCCACTTGTATCCTCTTACGACAAGCATAGTCGTCTCCCACAGCAAACATGGCTTGCTGAAGACCTATTCTTATCCGGGTCTTCACGGTGTGGAGCAAAAGCGAACTCCAAGTTTATATTGTTAAGGCGTTTCTTAACCGTGCTAAACTAAGTCGTGGGCAATTTTAGGGGCGGGCGAGAGAAACATCAAATGTATATAACAATGGTACGTTGGATTTAGGCTTAAGTCAGTTCCATCAAAATCTATTGTGTTCATAATCTACACCATAGATCAGTTAGACCGTTTCGTGCTGTATTGTCAGTACATGGTCTGATACAATAATGCATATAGTGCAGGAACTTACGCCTCTTTTTAGGATGAGTGTATTTAATTAGTTCAGTCGCTCATCAGTGTGTTGTTCATTGTTGTTTGATATATATTGTCTTTATCATCACTGTGCAATATTCTAAGAAATCTTGTTTATTATCTTGTTTTTATTTGTTTATGTTTATTATCTGTTCAGTGTTAGATTAAACTTGTTGAGCCATTCGTCACCACTTGGCTTTTCCCGTCAATTGCATAAGCCTTCAGCTTATTACGGAATGACACGAGAAGTCACGAATGATTTTGAAGCGGGTTTCGTAAGAGTTAACTCCCTTGTATCATATCACAGTTTGAAGCACACTGGCGCGGTTGTATTGGTTTCATTCAAGATATAGTTGTTCCAGAAGAACAAATTTGGCACAGTCTACACTGATAGGGCTTGGCACAAGCTGCATACACTTAAATGAATTTTGAACAGGTAAACGCAATGGAATTACAATTTTCACAATGCAAATCCGCATAAACGTCATTTTCCGACGTCCGGGGGACTATCGAAAATATACGAAATTATCCATAGTGCGAAATTAGACCACAGCGCCAAGAAGGATTATCCCGACACTATAACGTTACATCCAGACGATATATCCAGTTGATAGTGGTCGAGTTCGGGATTTTACTGTGTGTACAGTTCTGAAGGAAGGCAAACCTCTTGTGTATCAGGGAATCTTCCCTGTTCGCCTCTATCTTTATTTACTGAAGAATGTCTCAAAATGTCTTTTGACGGATTTTTACTTCAGTACGTATGATGTATATTCCTTTATCTTGGATTTAAGAAAACTGAATCATCTTCACAGTCCACGGGTGACCTATTGGTATATGACGCCTCATTTCGCTGTTGCTCCCCGTATCCATAGCAGGATCCGCTGGTTGTGGGTTCGAACCCCAGACTCGGTCTACATGTGTCCTTTGTCTACAGGTGTCAGTCAGCATCATGCCCTTGCTGGTCGGTCTCATTAAACTGGTCAATGGTAAAATGTAATTAATCATGAAATGTTGTTCACGTTTTCACGCAACAGAAGCTTGTGGCTATGTCGCCAAGTTTTGACCATTATTAAAGTGCTGACATTGCGTCAAAAAATGCTTCCATATACTTAAACGAAGGGCAATTGTAGTAGGTCTGTTCCTCCGTCCAAACACTAGCGATGTAGTGGTGGCTGTGTTGCTATTATTCAGCTTTAGTATGATGTACTTAATCTACATATATTTACCCCGGCTGCTGTAGGTGAAACACCCAGACATAAGTGGCACCACAAAGTACATGAAATATGCTGGCTGTGGGGTGTGGTGTTTGTTTGTTGGATGTTAAAGACAGACCGTATTTCAGACGGCACTTCAAAACATACAGTTTTTCGCAGAATGGAGGAATCAGTCAATCAACACTCTATTTTCTGAACATTCACAACGTCCAGTGAGTAATTTATTTTTACAGTTTGTTTCTTAGTATTTTAAGTAAAACAATATATTTTGCAAAATAGTGCCAGTATCAAGGAAGAGCGTTCGAGTAAAAAACCTGATACTTGTGCAGATGTTAATTTTGTTAGTATCATGGGAACAAAACGTTACTTAATTTTTTCAAGGATTTCTGCTGGAATGACGTTGAACTGTCGTGCATCGGGAGCTTTATAAGTCAACCAATCACCGATAAGCATAGCCTAAAAATAAATCGTCAAAGATATATGTGTAATATCTAAAACAATAAGTGAACTGATTCCCATTGTATGACATTGCATACGGCAAATGTGCATGCACGTACCACCGAAACGTTCTTTTAGTGCAAGATAATTCAGTGCGTCCCCTACGTTTTCTTTTGGACAGTTCGATTGAATCATTTAGATTGTGAAAATATCTATTTTACAGAAACGTTAAATATTCTTAACTTCCGACCAGCGAATATCCTTAACAGGAATCGTATAGAAACATTGACTCTGTCGTGTAATTGTCACCTTGCAAAGACAATCATTCAGGAATGACAGGTATCGAACAAATCAGTATATGACTTAAACATTGTCATCAATAAAGACATAGTTTCGAATCGGTGTAGGTTCGTTTTTTAAGAGATAAAGCTTTCTTCGTGGTTGTTAGAAACATTGCTCATGTTGCTCGACTTAATGTGTTTGTAATTTAGAAAGTATAACTTCTCAAAACACTTAGAAATTTGAATAATTTGTCATTTTGTTAACCTTGCCAAAATTCGCCCATCAGATTCGTGTTTGAAACAAGAATTTATACAATTAATTATTGACTTTAACGGCAGCCGTACCTTAATGAAGAATGCCAAATGTTATATTCCCACATGGCACATATTAAAATACATATTCTATATACTATGAATGACCGTGTGATATATTGTGTTATACATTGTCACTTATTAAATATTATACACTATATGGCGTGTTCTTGTTTGTACTTGTTTGTATCAGATAGTCTTCTTAATTGAAAAAAACGAGAGCATCACATAATTTCGAGAGTGAAAGACTAGCGAAGAGAAGCGCCGACTCGGTATTATTATCCTCATCAATAATAGAATGATCAATAGTTAAACATTTATATAGGGCCTGAATCATAAGATCTGTTAAGATGCACCTGATCATATGCCATTTTGTTGAGTGGAGTGGAGTTTTAACAGCTGTGATCTGAAATTTGAGTGTCCTGGATATGTTTCCGTACCGTGTTCAGTATCAAAGCACTGGATCTGAGTGAGTGAATGGATGTCGATTTGTGTAACGACGGCCTTAAAATATTCGAATTTGGACCAGGCAAACCAGTGACTGAAAACATGAGCAGCGATCTTCGCCTTCGGGGAACGGTGACATGCAGTTAACCAAATCACTGTACCTGACCACCTGACCACCTGATCTTCTTTAGTTGACGCATAAGAACATCATGGGATTCACTTGTCTCATGGGAGTCGTCAATCACCATTATGTAAGTAACAGGTCGTAGCATATTGTGCAGTCAGTTGATGTTTTATAGAACAGTTCCAATTGGGAAACAACTCAGTCTGATTCTGGTTTCCCAGCCAGCCATGTTCTTGGCATCCTGTATTCTGGAAGGTGTTTTTCGATGGCTTAGGGGCAGTGAGGACCTTTCAGCTCTTGAAATCAGAGTTTTTAATTGCAGTGTATGTTATTCCATGTTCTGTTGTCTACCTGTGACTACTGGATGATCTACAATATTAATGTTCCGGAACACGCACAATAGCTTAGATGCAATATGTCTACACTGTCTTTCGAATAGGACCCGTATGTTTAAAAATATGTGACCAACCATGAGATGGTGGAGCATCATCTTTTGACTTCTTATTATATTTTAAAACAACAGTATCTTAGGACCACAACAATACAGTGGATAAGCTTCAATTCATATTTATTACAGAGACAAATGGCATCAAACATTTGGGACTCATTATCTCCACAGTCCCATTTTCTGACTTATAACAGCATATGTGATAATTGCAGTCTTTAGATATAATGTTTGATTTATTGAAAGTAGACATTATGCTGAAATACTTTGAAATAATGATTTTATTACATTATGAACTAACGAGAGAAAAATACGATATTTTTTACAGTCCGTACACATAGCGAATTTTATGGATGTAAGTTGACGTCAAACGTCTTTCTTCATGACGCCACAGCACAGTGTCATCTTACCGTGGGAAGAAAGCACTGATAGATGTTAGTTGG